CCAACGATCAACAAACTCGGTATTTCTACACAACTATTCAAACGTGTCAACACTATCAGACAGACTCGCTTCAATATTATATGAAAAATGTTAATAAAAATGAACTGATGAGAAAACTAGAGAGTTACATAATACATGCAAACCAATCCCTAAGTTCCTCCCCCCTATAAATATCATAAGAAACTTACAGGATAGACTAACTGAATCCTAGAGATAAACGTAGCTCTATTTAAAAAAGGGTTTTGTATGTAAAAATAGGATTATGTTTGTGTGTATATGACTGCTAAGTGGAACTGGATTGTGAACAACGGACTAATAGTGCGATCATACATAAGTGAAGCTAGTAAAAATATCCAAGTTAATATTACTTCATGAATTAGACTTGGCACGAAAAGGGCATGGTAATTAAAACTGTGGACAATGGACAAAATGTAATATACTGTGAGTAATGCAACAACGTAACAAGGGTTATTACCTAAGATTCAGTAACAGTGCAAACAAAATAATTCCTGAGAGGGAGGAAGAAGTCAACACTGAATCTAACCCTTACTGGTCCAAAACATGGGCCGAATCCCGATGAAGAAGAAGAGAAAAGAGATGAAAGTTTTACACAAGATGGGAAGTCAGCATGGGACAGTCCGCCCCAAATTTGGTCCAGATCCAAATCACTTTGAAGCATTTTTTATAATAGGGAGATAGGGTATTTTCTCAGTTTTGGGGTAATAACTGTAAAGTGTGATTGGATTTGTACCAAATCTCATAGACACATTAAGGTTGAGACTCCTCATCACACTACAAAAAATGATCCGGATTTTCTGAGTTTTCGAAGGTGAAATTTGACGTTATCCAATACAAACGCAAGTAATCTCGAAAAGAAGCGGCGGGGCAAGGATGTGCAATATCTCTGATTGCTCTTGTTTAGTGTTAGCTTCAGATCAAAATTAGATGTTACATAATCTTGAAACTCCTGTATAAATATAGAATTACTAAGTGAGTAAAAGGCATTTGAAAATATCACACGTATACACTATATGGCTAGTCTTATTCTTTAGATTTGCCATTGTTCACAGTTAGTGAGGAAAGGTGGAATTTCCTGAAAACAGTATAACTCAGTTACAAGTGGTAAATGAAATAATAGATTGGGTTTTACAATTATTTGTTTAGTATTGAAATTTAGATGAAACTCACCATCAAATTCTCTGTGGATAAAACTAACCGTCAGTAACAGTAACAAAGATAAGAAAAGCTGTCATGACGATATTTTAACCAATCCGAAAATAAGGTTCCATATACACATGGATCACAATGTAAACCAAGAAGGTTCCAGGAACGGGGTTCTTCATGTAGCGTCCCCCAGTGGCACAGCGGTATGTCTGCGGACTTACAACGCTAGAATCCAGTTTTCGATACCCGTGGTGGGCAGAGCACAGATAGCCCATTGCGTAGCTTTGTGTTTAATTAAAAAAACAAACAATCCTCATATAGCTAACAGTAGTGAAAGAAGCTGCCTTCGTTTTTTTAATGTGTACACCAAGTAAAACTTAGAAGTAATAGTTTTGTACTGTTAATTTCGGGATTTTCAATACAATAGAATTGTGCTCTCGAAGTAGGTTTGGCCTATACACACAGTACCTTAGATCCAAAGCGTATTCTAGGTAATAAGTGTATTTTTACGGAATTATTTTACATTTACTCGTGACGCTGTTAGGGCAACGCCACGTGATTTTTTTTATTTGTTGGTCATCGGTTTATAACAACGTGGTTTGTTGAGGAGAAGAAATAAGGTGAATTACTGCAACAGAAAGTTTTAAGGAAACAATACGACAATATTCAAATATATCATTGAATAGAATTCTGTAAAACATTAATTTGTTGACATATTTTAAACAGAGATTTGGAGAGAACTAGCATGCCCAAAGAGATCAGTATTTGAAATTGAAGTCTTCATTATGACATAACCACTGTGGTTAAACACATTCTAAGATGGTAGAAGGACATGAAACTTGCTATTTGCTGAAAACTAGAGATATAAATATTACAAGAGTACTTAAGTGAAATGCATTGTTATAATACCAGTGCTTAAAGAAATTACAAAATGTTTGGTGCCTTGTGTT